AGTTTGAAAGCAAGAAATTGCAAGTAGATAAATAGGTACCACTTCGGTGGGAAGGTAACAGCGTTCCGTGCGCCTTGGTGTTTGGTCATGCCGGCCACATGACCACGGAAACGTCTTCGGACAGTGCTGGCTCTTCGGCTTGGAAACGGAGATGAGCACCGCAACCCTAGAGTCGGATTCGACTGGCTTTCGAGCAAGGGAACCTTTACCTTTACCTTAAGTTTAGGAACAGGTGCGGTTTGGCCATGGGAGCAGCTGAGGTCTGTGGGTTTCCTTTTTGGCCACCAGAGGGCAGCAGAGCCCCAAACAGTCATTTGTATTTCCTATTCCCCACTTGCAGACTGAGTTTTTGTACTTTGATTTAGCTTGGAAGAATGAAAAGTAAAGGATCGTGGCTACTCTCAAGTGGGCTCCAGCTCAGATCAGTCTGTCTGGGCAAGGGGACCTTTCTTATTGCCCCCTTTCTCTATGATGGGTCTTTGTTCAAACAAGCATGGTGTCCTCCGTCGATGCCTTTCAGGTGCATGAGTGAACTGCCAATATTGGAAAGCATGGAGATTATTGGAGGGGTCATGAAAGTTCTGTCTTTGGTAGTCAAGCTGGGTCACATGAATTGCCCTTGGGTGCTGCAGTCATCTACAGGGGGACATGCCTGCATGGACCAGCCCTAACAGGGTTAAAGGAGAGCGAGAACATATGAAATACCTAATGAGGAGAGGAACTGCATGTTCGTTTTCTCTCTTTTTCTTTCTTTCTTTCTTTCTTTCTTTCTTTCTTTCTTTCTTTCTTTCTTTCTTTCTTTCTTTCTTTCTTTCTTTCTTTCTCTCTCTCTCTCTCTCTCTCTCTCTCTTTCACCTGTTTTCCTCTACTGAGAGCCAGTTTGGTGTAGTGGTTAAGTGTGCGGACTCTAATATGGGAGAACCGGGTTTGACTCCCCACTCCTCCACTTGCACCTGCTGATGTGACCTTGGGTCAGTCACAAGCTCTGGCACAGCTGTCCTTGAAAAGGAGCAGTTTGTGTCAGAGCTCTCTCAGCCCCACCCACCTCATAGGGTGTCTGTTGTGGGGAGTTTGTAAGCCACTCTGAGACTCCAAGTGAAGGGTGGGGTATAAATCCAATCTCTTCTTCTTCTTACCCCCCCTTTCTGTATCACATCCAAACTGCAAAAACTCAGGCCACTAACATCTTTTGAACAGACGTTTTAAGAACGTGAACGCGCGATAGAATTCAAAGCCCAAGCAGCTTTGTTTAAGGTAACTTGTTCAGCCAAGAGGCTGTGGATCCATGATCGAGCACCTGCTTGGCAGGCGTAAGGATATCGATTCCCTCCCTGGCCTCTCCAGATCGGCACACAGTGGAAGGCCTGACAGGATCCAACCCAGTCCAAGACAGCCTCGTATTCTCAGAGCCCGCATGGAGGAAGAACGCATGGCCATACAGAAGTTATTTCTTTAAGGCTAAACAAGGCATTTGGAGACAGAGAGAGAGGGGGGGGTATAGACATAGGGAAGAGAGAGGTAACCAAGCCGTGTGAACTCTTTCAGATCCTGAATGTGGAAGTCTCTGAGCCGATGTGGTGTAGTGGTTAGAGTGTTGAAGTCGGAACTGGGAGTCCCAGGTTCGAATCCCCACTCTACCATGGAAGGTCAATGGGTGACCTGGGGGGCAGTCATCCGTCTCAGCCTAGCCTACCTCACAAGGTTGTTGTGAGAATAAAAGGGAGGAGAAGAGAACAACGTATGCTGCTTGGGTTCCCGGGGGCGGGGGGGGAAATGAAGGAAATAAAACGAAGACGTCTCCGGCATCAACCCTGCTCCCTGACTGTATCTTCTTCCTCCGCAGTACGGCCGAGTGGCCAGCGACTGGGCCCAGCCCGTCTGACTCCGGCTAAGCCGCCCCCACCAGACGCTTCTTCCTCCCCCACTCCAGTCTCACTGCCACCGAAGTTTTATTTATAATACAGTCCAGTCTCTTTGCCTCATCTGCCTCGGAGTCTGGACCGGTTGGCTGCTTTTTTTAAAGGACCATTTCCTGTCGTGTGACACACGGAGGCCAGTTGGGGTTCCGAAGCACTCCACGTCCGGGAGCGCCAGGGTTCCGAAGGGCTCCGAGGTCAGCCTTTGTGCGAGGGAGCGGAGGACCTGGACGGATGAGGCGCTCTCTTCTTTTCGTGCTTCTCTCGGGTTCCAAATTCAGCTGCTTCCTTCTTTAAAAGTGCAATACCGAGAGAGTGAGAGAGAAAAACTTGTTTGTATGTGTGCGTGCGTGCATTTTAAAGTGTCTGAAAGTCACAAACACCCCCATGCCTAGATTAGCACAGAAACGTGTTTAGATATTTTTTTTCAATCTAAACAAACTTATTCTTTATGTTTTCTATTTGGGTGCCAGAACGCTTGGTGCTAAAATCTGAACTGCTCTACCTGTCTCCTTATGCCCGGGGTGCTGAATTTCACCACCCAGAATTCAAGGCGGGCCTGCCAAATTTCTTATTCTGGATTGTTGATTTCTAGAATTCTGAACTTACTGTTTAAAATTTCTGTTTCAAAACGGTTATCGATGCTGGCTTAGTTAATGAAGTGTTGCATATGCTACAGGTTCAGAATGAGTGTGGAGTCCCGGTGTGTTTCTTAATGCCAGTGATGTTTTTTTACTCCGGAAAGTATTTAAAATTGAAAACCACTTCTTGCCACCCATTTCTGACCTCCCTGCATGCCTCTGCAAGCAATGCATTGTGGGAGACTTCTGAGACGATGGTCCAGCGACACCTTGGAGTATTGCTTCTGTAGATTGGTGTGGCTTATTGGAAAAAGTTGCTACATTTCCACCAGAGCTGCAGTTCACACATCCCATAATGCACTGTGTACTGAATCAGTGCGCTGTGGGAGTTTATGATACTGTGGGTTCTTTGTGGAGTACATATGAAATTGCCTTATATTGAGTCTCATGGTTGGTTCATCTAACTCAGTATTGTCTACTCTGACTGGTAGTGGCTCTCTGCAGTCCTGGGGAGACGTTTCCCCCTCCCCACCGTCATCTGCGACTAGAGATCCTTTACCTAGAGATGCCAGGGACTGAACATCTGCATGCAAAGCAGATGCCCTGTAAGAACATAAAGAGAGCCCTGCTGGATCAGACCGGTGGTCCGTCTAGTCCAGCATCCCGTCTCACACCGTGGCCAACCAGTTCCTCTGCGGGGCCGACAACAGGGCAGAGAGTCTGAGGCCTTCCCCTGATGTTGCCTTCTGGCTCTGGGATCCAGAGACTTAGTGCCTCTGAATGTGGAGGTTCCCCTCAGTCACCATGGCTAGTAGCCACTGATAGGCCTGTCCTCCATGAATCTATCTACTCCCCTTTGCAAGCTGTTTATTCTTGTGGCCATCACGACATGCTCTTGGCAGTGAATTCCACATTTTAATCATTCTCTGTGTCAAGTAGTATTTCCTTTTGTCTGTCTTGAACCTACTGCCCATCAGCTTCATTGGACGACTGAGCCTTAGAGGTTCTTACCCTGAGTAAGATCCCTTTTGGCTTCCATAGGCCAGTGAGGGCTCAGGAAACACAAATACTGCTCTTAATGGGAGGTGGGTCGGACAGGTGCCGAAATAAACTAGGTTAAATATTCATTTTTGGCCAGGCCAGAATATTATTTCAAAAACCTTTTGGGTTGGATCCAGACAGGTTTCCTGCAGGTGATAAAGGGAAAGGGACGGGTCCCCTTGGACCACCCAAAAAAGGCTGTGCAGGGGATTGTGGGACCTGCATGGATGGAAGTTATGCAGGATGGGGGCTGTAATAAGGAGGGGAATTGGGGTGAGGCAGAGTGAAGGAGCTGGCTGGATCCAATCGTTTGCTTTGGTGGAGGATGAGACCTGTGGGCTCCCATCAGTGTCAAAAACACACACCTTAATCCATCTCCCAAGTGTGTGCTATAAAAAAATCAGCATTTTCACAAATTAGTTGCCGATCTAGAATGTGGATCGATTTTCCAAACGCACACCCCATTGGGGGGCGGCGGGGGGGGGGGGGGAGGCAGTGTCTGTACTTGGATGCACGTCTTCCTCAGTGGCACATAAGTACATTCATTCTTTACACCATGCTTAAGTCCCTTGCGGAACTTGCCACCGTGGGATACAGCGACGGCTGCTAGTTTAGGCGGTTTCAAAAGGGGGCTTAGGCAAATCCCTGGAGGGTCGCCATGTCCATGTTTGTTAGCCATAGTGGTTGAATATGCTCAGTGGAATATAAATTGCTGGGGGCAAGGGGGTGTAATAGCCGGGAAAGGCTTTGGCCTCCGGGTCTCTTCTGGGACATGTGGTTGTTCATGTGGTAAATAGGATGCTGGGCTCAGTGGACCATTGGTCCAATCCCACAGGATTCTTCTTAGTTGGATGCGTATCTGATTTATGTCTGTGGATCCTACTTCCGACACATAATAAACCTACAAATGCCCGTTTAGGTGTGCGGATCTCCTTTGCTAGATCGGGAGCACCAGTGCTTTTGGTCCAGCCATTGCCATGAACAGCTGCTCTCTTGAGTTCCAAGAAACCCTGTAAATAACTGGTGGCCTAATGTTAGAAGTGCAACTTTTGGGAGAGGAAAGAAATGCCAAAAATGGACACATCTAAGGATTTGTTTACGATCGATACTTTGTATCTGTTTGTTTTACCAAGAGAAACTGCCCTTTTGGACTTACCTTCTGGAAAAAATGGGGACATTTTTTCACACCACAATCATTTCGGATGCTTGCTGAAAACGGTAGAATTTCAAAAGTTGGCACACTGCAGGAGGAATGGGCAACAGCTCTGTCCAATGTTTGCTTCTTTAAATTGACGGTCCTTGGATCTGGGTTGCTCAAAAGTGTTCATTGGGCAAGATTAAGGTGAGAAATGCTGAGTGTGGAATGCAGATGGCCGAAGTGTACTTTTTCCTGAACTAAAATTGAAGGAAGATTTGATTTTTGAATGTGCAAAAGTTACCTGTCCTCCCGTGCATCTGTTGTAGACTGCCTCTTAAGGAAAGAGCAGCGACTCGTGCAGAGATGCAGAGGGTAGCCTCCTCTGACTGCAAGTACTTCTGTTGTGACTCTACACTGAGAGTGACCTCACAATCCAAACACATCCTGTGTGGCAAGGTGACAGAATTGCCAATAGGGGAATGCTTGGCCTACTTTACGGTCTTGGGTGAAAAGGAGATCTGCATAACTTGAAAGCCTGCGACTTTGTTCTGTTTTGCCCATTTGGACTGGCACAAGACATTTGCGACCTTTGAATCTTTTGAGGGCCTAGCTACATTGCTGGGAACTTTGACAGATGGATTTTCATGCGGTGGGGGACAACTTGAAGGAGAGCAAAACCTCTATGAAATCTATACAAAAGTTTGGGGTAGCTTAAAGGGGCATTCAGAATAGGTGCAAGGTGATATGTTCACATCCAAAACTCCTCTGAACCGGTGTTTGGTTTGATTTGATTTATTACATTTCAACCCCGCCCTTCCAGCTAAGGCTGGATCAAATCAGCTCCTGGAGCCTTTTAGCAAACCTCTTTTATAATCTGGGGGAGGAGGAATGATGAGAAAATACGTCTCTGTTCAAATTGTATTTGGGTTGTTAATTATGAGCTTCCTCTGCGAACAATTAAATCTTTTTGTTGTTGTTGTTGTTGTTATAGCATTCTAAATGGGCTCATGCTTTAATGTGCGTGTGTTCTCTTGCCACCACTTGGAAATTGTAGTGTGGGGCTGGGCACACCACAGCATATTGCCTAAACAACTGTGTGATGCTTCCACCATGAGGATCAAAACTGTGAGAATGCCAAAGTAGCCCAGCCACTGTCCTGTGAATTACAGCACTGTTTAAAAACGAAGAAAATCGATTTCAGCCCTCAAGAAGGATAGAACCTTTCTGATCATAACCCAGTAAGGGAGTGAAGTAAATGAGTTCTGAGACAGGGTAATGGCTCCTCGTCTTGGCTGATGGTCAGATAAATGCTGGTGGCGAAGGATCCAAATGGGCCATCAACTCTGAATATGAGCGGAGGCAGAGTCTCAGGATCAGGGAGCCTGACTCGTAATGGCAGCGAGTAGAAATGAGCTGTGGTAGTTTGTGTTGCCACTGCCTGTTATTTCTGAAGTGCAACATACAGTTACCGTTCGAAAGCAGCAGATGCAATACTGTATTTAGAAAAGCTCACAGAAGTGGGATCCGGTTATTCCAAGGTAACGGGTTCAGATTGTGAGAATAATGTATGGAATTTTTTTTTCTCTCTCTGCAAACTTTGACTTGCCTGGATGCTGCACTTGGATGTTCAGTGAAGAATTTGTGTGGGCCCTCAGATGGACTTGAGGCTGCTCTGTGGGATGGAAGAAATCCAGTTCAGGTGCAGTTAAGGGATTTAAGGGAATTCGAATTCTTGGGCGTGGATTTTAAGATATCCCCTCATGGTGAGAGTTTAAAAGCAGTAAAATAAAGGGTAAAAGGTAAAGATTTCCCTTGCTTGAAAGCCAGTTGAGTCCGACTCTAGGGTTGTGGTGCTCATCTCCGTTTCAAAACCGAAGAGCCAGCGCTGTCCGAAGACATTTCCGTGGTCATGTGGCCGGCATGACTAGACACCAAGGCGCACGGAACGCTGTTACCTTCCCACCGAAGTGGTACCTATTTATCTACTTGTAATTTCTTGCTTTCGAACTGCTAGGTTGGCAGGAGCTGGAACTAGAGATGGGAGCTCACTCCATCATGCGGCACCCTAAATTTGCGGATGATACAAAGTTGTTCAGGGTGGTGAAAACCAGTGAGGATTGTGAGGCACTCCAAGGGGATCTGTCAAGGATGGGCGAGTGGGCGTCAACATGGCAAATGGGGTTCAATGTGGCCAAGTGCAAGGTGATGCACATTGGAGCCAAAAATCCTAAATATAAATACACATTGATGGGGTCTGAACTGGCAGAGACTGATCAAGAGAGAGATCTTGGAGTTGTAGTGGATAACTCACTGAAAATGTCGAGACAGTGTGTGACTGCAATAAAGAAGGCCAATGCTATGCTGGGGATTATTAGGAAGGGTATTGAAAACAGATCAGCCAATATAATAATGCCCCTATATAAATCAATGGTGAGACCTCATTTGGAATACTGTGTGCAGTTCTGGGCACCACACCTTAAAAAGGATATTATAGCTTTGGAAAAAGTGCAGAAAAGGGCAACTCGAATGATAAAAGGGTTGGAACACTTTCCCTATGAGGAAAGGTTAAAGCGCTTAGGGCTCTTTAGCTTGGAGAAACGATGACTGAGGGGTGACATGATCGAGGTTTATAAGATTATGCATGGGAAAGAGCAGGTAAAGAAAGAGGTACTTTTCTCCCTTTCTCACAATACAAGAACTCGTGGGCACTCCATGAAACTGCAGAGCGTTCGGGTTAGAACGGATAAAAGGAAGTACTTCTTCACCCAAAGAGTGATTAACACATGGAATTCACTGCCACAGGAAGTGGTGGGTGCTACAAGCATGGACGGCTTCAAAAGGGAATTAGATAAGCATATGGAGCAGAGGTCCATCAGTGGCTATTAGCCACAAGGTATAGATAGGTGCTCTGGGGCAAGTGATGCTCTGTCTTCTTGGTGCTTGGGGGGGGTCAACAGTGGGAGGGCTTCTAATGTCCTGGCCCCACTGGTGGACCTCCTGATGGCACTGGTATTTCTGGCCACTGTGTGACACAGAGTGTTGGACTGGATGGGCCTTTGGCCTGATCCAACATTGGCGTATCTTATGTTCTTAACTGTGGCTTTCTTTGGCCGGAACACAGTGCGTGCCCATTCCGTATATCAAGAACCTGTCTGCTTCTGACAGTAGGGAGCAAACTATGGTAGACCAGACCAGATGTCCTCATCAGGGACCAGCAAGGCAAAGTGGGATCTCTCTGAGGGCATTATAAAGGGGACAATATAATGATTACTCAAAGGGCACTTGCAG